ACACACACACACACACACACACACACTCAGTTGAACAGTCCTCACTCCCATATTCATTCTAATCAATAACATGTATGATATCAAGAGAAAATGTACCAGGGCAACCAAAGGCGTGGACAGACCAGCGAACCCATCTCATTGGCGGACAGGAAGAAGACCAAGTGGCAAAATCATGATGACTTGATTGAACTGCTTTGTTCAAGGAGATGGGGCTAACCATTTGTTTTCTTGTTTTCTGGAGCTGTACTCCATAAATTGCTTTGAGAAGAAAAATCATGGTGTGCTTTGGTCTAAAAAAAAATGCAGATTTCCCTCTCATGGGATGATTAAAAGCATGGACTCTGGACTCAGAAGGATATATGTTTAAAGTCGACCTTGTCTACTTGCCTAATCTTGCAGTGCCTGCTATGTACAAAGTCGATATTTAGTGGCATCAGAATCTGAGATTCACAAGAAAATGATCCATGACGTCTCACAGCCTCTCTGCTCCCCACCCTGCCCTGACCAGGTCTGAGCCCTGCCCACCCCCAATCTCAGCACAAAAATTTAACAGGAATAAAAATATATGCCTTATTTGTGTCCTTAACCCTTTCTAAAACTGCAATGACTTCCTGCCTAAAAGCTCCTCCCTGAGCCCCCAAATGCAGGAAGAACATTCACTGCTGATGTGGCAGAGTAGAAGGCTGGACTAGCAAGCCCCCCAAACCCTTCCCGCAAATGGGCACAGAGAGAGGGAGAAACGGGGGAGGCACCAATCTGGTGGGTGATCCCTGCTTCTGCAAACACAGGTGACAGGCAGCAAAGAGTAACCCAGGAGTGCCAGAATTTCCTATCATTGGAATACAATAGATTCTTTCAAAAATCAGGGATAGGAGATGGGGTAGTAGTGGGTTGATCTAACTGCTTGATTATTTAGCGACGCTGGTTGAGGGAGGGGGGAACACTGTTACTCGATTGAGATGATTCTAAAAGGCTTGGATGCAGAGGGATTAAAAAAGGCCTCATGGAAAGAAGCCTCCTTCACCTTAGCTTATAAACCACAGGCAGGGTGAAGCATAGAAATGGGAGAGAAAGTGCCATGGTGTTCTAGTGGAAAAGACTCAGAAAGGAAGCTTGTTCCTCGGAGCACCAAGTAGCATCAAGTAATTCTCTGCGGTCACAAGAGAGGCATTTGTAGCACATGGAGGTTTCCTGAAATCACCATGAACAGAGAAAACAGCACCAGACAAAAATAAGGGGCCCAGTTTCAAGAATCTCTTTAGAAATCTGGGAGAAAGGGGAGTCTGTAATTAGGGTTTGCTGCCCTCCGGCTCTGGCGGTGATGTCATTGCCTAAAGAAAGGCAGTGCTCAGTGCCAGGAATCTGAGCTCACCGCTCTCCAATAATTCAATACGGTCTTGCATGGGAGTTCCTCGTCTTGGGGATTAGCGAGCAACAAATCTACTTTGTAGGCACCAACGTTTGGCTAAGGGAAAAAAGAGGAAACTGAAGCTCGGAAAGGGCAATTCTCAAATCTGACTGCCGGAACCCCATTTCAGCGCTATCACCCTGTGCACCGGGCCCCGTCAGTCTCTGATCTGACCTCACCCACCCAGGTACAAGCTGAGTCCTGCCCAGAGACCCCAGGACACCAGTTCGTGTGACGGGGCTTCCAGACTGCACAGACCCTGAGGGGAAGAGAATGTCCTGTTGCAGACTCTTTCTGCTGCCCGTGTCACTGCGCAGGGGGACACTGTGGCACAACCAGCAAAACCGGTTCTGGGTAGAAGAACTCTGACGGCTCTGCCAGGACCATGCGGCATGACCGAGACTGGGAACCTGCAGTTAATCCCCAGGCCTCATTCTCACTAATAGTTTTAACACCGTCCCCGGCCCAACGCTTTCCTATAGTTAAATCGAAAGATTATAGTTTCACATCCTTGCTTTTCTTGTGTTTCTCTAAAGGAGAGCTAGAAACACAACGTAAGACAGAGACAAAAGAGAAAGAGTTGGAACTGTGCTCTCAAAAAACTCATAAACTTTTATCATCGGGTCTTGATTATACATATGTGGTAAGACTACCAAATACCAGACTGTTATTTTTTTTTCTTTAATGAATGCCCTGAACCTTAAATGTCCAAATAAAACCTCTTCTTTAACGCAGTTATCATAGGAAAACATATGGTCTTCTCACATGCTGCTGTTGTGACTCAAACTACATTTGTAATGTCTCTTCCGACATTGCTTTCTTTTTTTTTAATTTTTTAAAATGTTTTATTTATTTCTGAGATAGAGAGAGAGACAGCATGAGCTGATAGATAGAGAGGGAGACACAGAATCCGAAGCAGGCTTCAGGCTCTGAGCTGTCAGCACAGAGCCCGATGCGGGGCTCAAACACATGAACTGTGAGATCATGACCTGAGCCGAAGTTGGATGCTTAACCGACTGAGCCACCCAGGCGCCCCAAACATTGCTTTCTTTAAAGCTGGTAAAGCTGGTTTTAAATGAGAAATCTCATTTGTAAACCTGAGTGGTATTATCAAACTTGTTGATATGTATTTAGATTTGGACCTAAGTGATTTCTGATATTTTTCTTTAATGTTTATTTATTTTTGAGAGAGAGACAGAGAGACAGAGTGGGAGTGGGGGAGGGGCAGAGAGAGAGGGAGATACAGAATCTGAAGCAGGCTCCAGGCTCTGAGCTGTCAGCATAGAGCGAGATGTAGGGCTCAAACTTACAAACCGTGAGATCATGACCTGAGCTGAAGTAGGGACAGTTAACCAAAGGAGCCAACGAGGCACCCTAATTTCTGATATTTTTCTTTAAACTTAGTCAAAGATCAAGATTTACCACCATTGTGGGCATTGAAAAGGTCACAGCAGCTCTCTTTAACAGAGCTAACACACGTCGAGCTTTGACCTGCTGCCAAATGTCAGTTCAACCCAAAATTAACTACCTTGCAGGTTCACCACAGAACCTCCATCATTCAAGCCATCACCTCTTATTAGGCATTTTCTTTATAAGATTCCTACTGACACATTCACCCACTAGCACTCATCATCACAGACTGCCTGATCATGAAAACTGGGGCTATGATCACAGTTCACATTTATAGCTTGCTTTACACTGACAAGGCACTTTCTTTCTTTTTTTTTTTAATGCTTATTTATTTATTTGGGGGAGGGGCGCAGAGAGAGAGAGATATAGAGATATAGAGAGAGAGAGAGAGAGAGAGAGAGAATCCCAAGCAGGCTCTGTGATGTCAGTGCAAACCCCAATGCAGGGCTGGATCTTACAAACCTTGAGATCATGACCTAAGCCGAAATCAAGTCTCGAGAGTCGGACCCTTAACCGACTGAGCCATCCAGGCGCCCATGACAAGGCACTTTCAATGATAGGATCCCCCTGTCTTCTTGATCCCTACGTTCCCTAGAGAGTTGGCCTGCCTCTCACCCCTCCCACTGTTGTCGGGGTATTGGTTCCCCTGTCGCCTCTCCCTGAGCCCTGGATCTTCCCGGAGTGTAATCCCAGCACAGAGACCACTGGAAAAGTGCTCTGTGTTTGTATGTGGGAGGGAACTGAGGCCCGGGGGGTCAGACGACTTGCTGGAGTCAGAGGACTCCAACCCCCACCCCATGGCTCCATTGCACAGATGGCCTTTTCATGATCCACCCCAGTAATCTAGGGAATGGAGCATTAATGGGGAGACAAGATTTGAGTAAGGAACTTTCAATGGAGGTGGAGTGAACCTAGAAGACAAACTTTCCCTACAGTTCTGTGTGGGACCTGACCTCTCATCCGTTCATTGCAAGGCCTACTTCCTTCCCTTGGATGCACCGAGCCTCTGGAACATTCTCCAGACTGTTCTGGCACTCCATTACTGCTTACCCATTTGGTCTCCTTTCTTGGGCCTAAATCCAATTTCATTTACATGGTTTCATACCTGAGTGAAATGAGACACTGAACACTTCATCTTGTCCATAACTCATGCCTGCAAACTCCCATCCAGCTTCCTTTCTCACCGAGCCTTCCCCCTGCTCGAAGGCAGTAAAGTATTGAAGGAAACTGTTTACGTTGATCTTTTTATTAGTTTGAAAACAAGAGTCTTCTAACACCCTCGTAAATGGTACATAACTGAGGCAGAAAACAAGCTTAGGCTTCATCTGAAACCTTCTCTTGAGTGCAAAAGAAGGATCAAGGATCAGAAGCTAAAAGACACAGAAAGAAGAGTGAGCAGAGTCTGTAGTTTTCATAAAATCAAAGAGACTCCAAGTCTGGAAAACAGATCTGAATATCCACGAGTCTTACTTTTTTTTACCCAAATCAGGGCAATGATGGACGTCTATCCTCAAGGCACAACTTACCGGAGATTTTACCATTGCCCTTCCTAACCATACTGGCACCAGGAAAAAAAAGACAAAAAGTTGAAGCAGTCACCATTAAAGACAAGGTTCAATGTCATGACATCGGCTCTACCACAGGGAATGAAGGTCGGAGACCTATAGCCCTGCTTTCTGTACCTGTCCCTCAAGTGGGTTCTGCCTGGAGAGTCATGGGGCCAGAAGGCCTGCTCATTCACTTACCTATGCAGACATTAGCTCTGAACACCTTTCTGCCTCTGTGGAAGGCAGCAGTCAGGGCTCTTTGGGGGAATCTGCAGTGTAGGTAGACAAGGTTTTCTGGCGGAGCCTTGTCAGTGCCACTTGCTAAAATAAAGCCCAGGGAGCTAGAGGACTGGGGAGGGGTGTGCAGCCTGGTGCATCCCACAGGAGGTCACAGAGAAACACACACACTCCTTTGTCTCCTTTATCCTCCAAAAGGCAATTTAACTGCACATAACTGAATGTGCTGTGCGTAACTTCCAGAGAAAGATAACAGGTTCATTTCTTTTTTTTTTTTCTGGCTTGAGTTAACAGATCTTTCCATACTTATAAAGGCTGCTGTAAAAGAATCATCTGCAGGGAACGGTGACATTGTTGAAAAGGCACAAGAAATGAAGCAACGCTATTTTTTCACTCACCTTTGCCTCTTCATTCACGTCCCAGGTGAAGGAAACGGCGTTATACGCAATCTCCTCGATGTTTCCAATCGTATTAAAGCTCTCCTTGTAATCAGCTGTCACATTAAAAAAGAAAAGGGTTTTAAAAGTATAAGAGTTACTTGGTGACATGTACTTAACTGTCATTTTCCAATGAGGAGATTTAAACTTTGCCTACTCTTCCGGCTATCTCTTAGCAACAGTTAAGGATTTGTGCTTGCTGATATTCTTTCACTAACATTTACTTGATGAAAATGTTCCTCTATTAGCAGAGTAAATGTAGGTGAAGCAATATTCCTAAGAGATTTGTTTATTGGTTTCATTTTTTATGACGTTTATACAATTACTAATTTTTTGCCCTCCTGAATCCCTAGTCACCTATCCACTCCCTCACCTACTCAAAACATGCCTGCAGCTTAGTTGTGCTGGAAGGTGCCAGAGTTGTGCATAGGGATGGTTTTGTAGAACAGCATATGCTGGTTATCGGATAGGCAGTGTCCACGGGAACCCAGGGAAGAGAGCTCAGGAGACTGCAAGGAAACATTTTTTTTTTTACTTCTCTTTAGATGTAGGTACAGAGTTGTGTTAATCATACTCAGCTCACTCTTACCACTTACCCATTTAAAGCCTTCTTTTATTTCTCTGCTTATGCATATATTTATGTACTCATTTCTATCGTCACTATCCTCTCCCACAAACACAGCAGCTATCGACGTGTTTGCTATGTGTGCTTAGGAAATACACCGAGTTGATTGGCCCATGTGTGTAGCTCTTATTTTCAGGAGTTGGGTTGTGCTGTGGCTAGAGTTGCCAGATCTAGCAATTATTTGGGATATACTTATCCTGAAGAAGGATCTGTTGTTTGCCAGTAATTCAAATTTAACTGGGCACCTTATATTTTATCTGGCAGCCATAGCTAGGAACCTCTTCAGATCTAATCCCACTACTGGAGGCATGCCTATTTCTAACAGCAGCTACACAGAATTCTGTGGTAACCATAAGCCACTAGTGACTTATCCCCTCTAAGCAGATAAGGACCCTTTGATAGTGTCCAGCTTTCTGGGACACAGACTCAACTGCACCTAAAGTCCTTACTACCCACGATTGCCACCGTCACTGTCATTATTTGGCTTTAAGTTCTGGACATGATCTTCCTCCTTTTTTGTTTGTTTAATTTTTTACATTTATTTATTTTTGAGAGATAGAGAGGGAGAGAAAGAGGGATGGAGGGAAGGAGGGGCAGAGAAAGAGGGAAAGAGAGAATCTCAGGCAGGCTCCGCACTGTCAGCACAGAGCCTGAAGCCTGATGCAGGGCTGGGACCCATGAAACTGGAGATGAGGACCCAAGCCGAAATCAACAGTCAGACGCTCAACCAACTGAGCCGCCCAGGCACCCTGATATTCCTAGTTTTAACCCTCACTACCACCTGAGTGTTTTAGCTTTATGCTTACCATCTGCATGTCCCCCCTACTTTTGGCCTACTTTAATTCCATACTGAATAAACGTGGGCCGTGTCCTACCTGGCCAGCAACATGGTCCACAGCCCACCTGCTTTCCTCTGAGGTCTGGTTCATTCACAACGTGGTCACCTCATCACAAATGTTCTTTCTCTCAAAGCCCCCATCATGACTTTTCTAAAAAGTCAGATCATCTGCTTTTTATAATTTTTCTCAAGACTAAAACTTACACCATGACCTATCATGTCCTTCACAATTGGACATCTCTCTGGGCCCTCACACTCCAGGCCCACAGTGTGGGCCAGGGGAAGATTCAATTCTAATGACACTGGACATGTTTTTGTTTATAAAATCTTTCTAGGGGCGCCTGGGTAGCCCAGTTGGTTAAGCGTCCGACTTCAGCTCAGGTCATGATCTCACGGTTCGTGGGTTCGAGCCCTGCGTTGTGCTCTGTGCTGACATCTCAGAGCCTGGAACCTGTTTAGGGTTCTGTGTCTCCTTCTCTCTCTCTGCCCCTCCTCCACTCATACTCTGTCGGTCCTTCTCAAAAATAAATAAACATTAAAAAAATTTTTTCAGGGGCATCTGGGTGGCTCAGTTGGTTGAGTGTCTGACTTTGGCTCAGGTCATGATCTCACAGTTCGTGGGTTTGAGCCCCTCATCGGGCTCTGTGCTGAGCCAGCTCAGAGCCTGAAGCCTGTTTCAGATTCTGTGTCTCCCTCTCTTTCTGACCCTCCTCTGCTTATGGCTGTCTCTCTCTCTCTCTCTCAGAAATTAAAACAAAAAACATTAAAAATTTTTTTCAGATGAATAAATAAAATCTGAGTTTTGTTTTTTGTTTTTTTGTTTTTTTTTGCTGTGCTAGGACAGGAGCTAGGTGTTAGGATGGACTCCCAGGATGCATCAAGTGTCTGTTGCCTATAAAATCGGACATGGTTCTGCCCAAAGGGTCATCTTTTCTGGCTGTGTCCTTCTAGGTTGCTGTGTCACCCCACGGCTGGTGGCTTCTTGAGGCTTTAACAAGCTGTCTGTGTTTGTGCTGTGACATTTTGAAGTCTGCTTTCCTAACGCTCACATATCCGGTCATTTTTATCCATTTCCTCCTCATTTATTGTAAAATCCAAGTTCATGTGATCCTTTATCAAGATTTTTCACCCCTTTCTTACAGTAACGCAACTCTTCGTGCTTGTGTGAATCGGGTGGAGAGAAGCGGTAGGTCCTGTTTGCTTTTTCTATCCGTGGACATGGATAGAGGGTTAATCACAGAAAAACCTACTTTTTAATGTGCTCTCCAGAATGGCCCTCCAGGCCCATTCTCTAGAAGGCACTGTGCCAATCTAGATTCCTCTAGAATCCCAGTTCTCCCTTTTCTCACCAAATTTCCACCTTTTTTTTTTTTTTGCCAATCCAATGGGTACAAAGTGGTATCCTATTGACGTAATATTTGCATTTCTTCTTCCACTTGTGAGTTCAAGCATCTCTTCACATCCAGGATAGCTAAACAGGTGTTGGCTTATATAAACTGCCTGCTCATGGCCTTTGTCCATGTTTCTATTGATTCCCCCAGGGAAACTTTAAAGCAAAACTATGTATCTTTACATTTTATTATTATTATTATTATTATTATTATTGAGAAAGAGAGAGACCATGCATGCATGCCTGAGTTGGGGAGGGGCAGAAGGAAAGGGGAGAGAATCTCAAGCAGGCTCCACACCCAGCTTGGAGCTTGACTCAGGGCTTGATCTCGACTACGAGATCATGATCTGAGCTGAAATCAAAAGCTGGACGCTTAACTGACTGAGCCACACAGGCACTCCCGTCTTTACATTTTAAGTAAAGCATAGACACTTTGATACAAAAGCATGTGTATTCACCATAAAGACCACAATCTACTCCACAAACAGCCACAAAAAACACATCTGTGTATATATTTCCTGTTTCCTACTTCAGTCTCTGTCTCCCTTTCTCCAAAATATGTAAATATTTTACACAACATTGTAACAATTATTTTTAATTTGCTTTTCCCCCCTTAATACTTCTTCAGCATCTTTCCATGTCAATAAGTAAACTTGTGGAAAATACTTACAATTGCCAAATACTATTATACTAAATTTTAAAAAGTGCCATAACTTTACTTTGCTCTTGTTGGTCACTTTAATGATGTCCAATACTTTGCTACCATAAATAGTACTGCATTTAATTATCTTTATGGCTAAATATTCACATATACTTCATTATTTCATTAAGATCTATTGTCAGACAAAATTATGAATGAAAATGGACTTATTACAACCAACCCCTCAGAAATACAAGCAATTATCAGGGAATACTATAAAAATTATATGCCAACAAATTGGACAACTTAGAAGAAATGGACAAATTCCTAAACACACACTCACTACCAAAATTCACACGGGAAGAAATAGAAAACTTGAACAGACCCATAACGAGTGAAGAAATCGAATCAGTGATCAAAAATCTCCCAACAAATAAGAGCCCTGGACCTGATGGCTTCCCTGGGGAATTCTACCAGACATTTAAAACAGAATTAATCCCAATTCTTCTCAAGCTATTCCAAAAAACAGAAGTCGAAGGAAAACTCCTGGACTCATTTTATGAAGCCAGCATCACTCTGATTCCCAAGCCAGACAGAGATCCAGCAAAAAAAGAGAACTATAGGCCAATATCCTTGATGAATACGGATGCAAAAATTCTCAACAAGATCCTTGCAAATCGAATCCAGCAGCATATCAAAAGAATCATCCACCAAGATCAAGTGGGATTCATTCCTGGGTTACAGGGCTGGTTCAAC